TTCAGTTGTACGTAGTAGGATGTTATTTCCTTGTTTTAATATGTGTGGTAATAGTGTTCTTGAATTCAATGAAATATTATGCACAAAATTATTACATTTTTAATTACTTAAAACACAAGAGATTGCAGGTTATCTCATGACAAACCAATACTATAGGTTGTAAGAACAAAACATTTGATTTATAGTTTAACGGGTTGGTTTATATGCTTGGCCCTTTGGCTATTATAATTCATGGTGGTGTTCATAGTTGGTATTATCACGACTAGTTGATTCTTTTAGTACACAAATTTTTGTGGTTAGGTTATTGGGCTAGCACATTTAGGTACATTTGTTTTCCTCGGTTATTTGTCTCTTTTATCTTATCTTGTTTATTTCTCCTTACCTGTTTGACATATTTTCCCTTTTGTAGTTGCATGTTATGTATAATCCTTCTTTACCTTTTTTTTTACTTTATATTGAGAGTTTCTCTAACTTATGACTACTTATTAGAATTTCTTTGTAGGAGATTTGGCGGAGTTACTTTTGGGATTCCCGGTGCGCGTCCCACATTTACGTATTAACCCCAATTTTTGGGTCCATTTTTGATTGTTGTGAATTTAGTATGTAAGTTTCTATAATGTTTTCATGATTAATACTTTGATTGTGTAGTGGTTTTTGAGGTGTTTTTGAAGTGGATTGACCTTGTGCGGTTGATTTGGAGTGTTCGTTATTATCCTTGAGGTAGGCTACATATCTACTTTCTTCATGACTTTCTTAGATTATGTATAGTATACATTTTATGTACTTTTCGATTATAATTTCCTGGTACTTAGCTTTTCTTTCTTATTTCATATTTTCTTGATTTCGTAATAGTTGTGGGCTTAGTGTGAATGGTGGGATCTGTAGTTTATGCTAGTAGTTTCTCTTGTGGTGTAAATGATCATGTTTACCGTTGTTAGGATTGATGCTTGATGGCCTTAGACTTGGTTGGACCTTAGGTACTTTAGATTGTATTTTACCGCCTTATAGTATTAATTTCTCTCTATGGGCTAGTATTGGGTTGTTCTCCATGCGTTGGTGCTTGTTATGTTGGTGGCTCGTCATAGCCATAGGTTAGTCCTTGTTTTGCTGAGTAACAGACTGAAGTGTTATGATTGGGGTATGGTGTTGTCCCTTGATTTGGTTCTCCTTTCTATTGATTTAAAATATTTTATTGATACGTTCGCTTAATGTTTAATGGTAGTCCTATTGTATCCTTATGAGCTTATGGTTATATTGTTAGGCCCGAAGGCCATGTGTGTGAACTCGTTGGATCCAAAGTAGTCTACACCTTTATAGCGTAGTTTTGTTGCCTATGTATTTATTTAAATTTGAGTGCCTTGGTAGGATGATGGTAATGGAATGGATTGTATTATTTGTTCATTCTTAAAAATTTCTGGTTTGATGTCGGTGCATGCATTGACATATGTTATTCCTTCATGCTGAAACACTATTTTACTTAGCTCTATTCTAAATTTTTTACATGGAATTGTACTACCTTTATTACCTGATTTCTACTTTTTGAGATAACGAGGCATAAGTGACGTGCACCTTTCCTACTTGAGATATTAGAGGCATCGGGGATATGATGAATTATCTCAAGTAACTTCAATGTACACTTGTGCAAGGAAAGAATAACTTCCCATAATATCATCCGAGCAAAGTATCCCTTTTTGGTCATCTTAATCATAGATTATATGCATGGTGAAGTATTAAAGCTTTTCTACCATAAAGGAACCACACTCCTAATTAATCTCAAAGCACACTCATATACTACACTTCACACTAATCATAACCTTAAAGTCATCCTAGTCATATTTCCCTCATTTGGTATCATTATTAGCTTGCCTAATGAAGACAAGGGAACTATAAGTTTTTGTAAATCATATCTTGGAATGAAGCTATAGAAACAATCCATCAAGAATAACTCATGCAAGAAAACACTCATAAGGAAAACTTAGGTCATACTTGTCCAATGTATGAGTAGCATCCCATACTACCACTCATGCTAAGTAATTTTTCGGGTCATCATACTCATGGTCCTTAGGTTGGAATCTAGTTCTTCCCTTTATACCTTGGAACACTATGAGGTACTCCCTTATGCACATATTATTTCATTATTAGATTAAACCCTATGAGATACTTCTTTGAATCATTTCTAGGTTCATTATTATCATGGAAATATGAGATCCTACCTTCACCATGTCTAACACCATTTACACTCTTGAACACTATGAGGTACTTCATTAATCCTATCTTAGTTCCCGTCATTTAAAACTCTATGATATACTACATTAAGTACATCTTAGTTCATCAAGATTGTATTCTAAGAGTTACTACCTAAAGCATTGTCTTAGTTCACTAAGGTTAAACTCTAGGATATGCTTCCATAAGCATAATTTTAGTTGATTAAGTTTGATCTCTAAGAGATGATTCCTCAAGCATAATCTTAGACTATTAATTGTGTTGAACTCTAGGATGTGCATTCTCAAGCTTAATCTTAGTCCTTCACTAGAGATGGGATCTGGGATATTCTTTCTCAAGCATAATTTTAGAACATTAACCATGTTGGACTCTAGGAGATTCTACCTTAAGCATAATCTTATCCCGTGAGGTGTAAGCTCTAGGAGATGCTACCTAGAGCATAATCTTAGTTCAGTACATTTGAGTTTGAGTGGATACCACATTATGCATAATCTTGGTTCATCACTAATATTTTTAAATTGGGGTATGGCCTTAACCCACATGAGAACATTTAATCTATAACATGACTCTTATGGTTCTAACCACACCATCAAGGGTCAGTTCACTTGCCTAAGGTTGAATCAGTTTTTTACATTAGTTGGATCTAGTAGCTAGCTAACTTTCCTATGAGGCACGTAGTTATAGGATGCAGAGATTGCTACTAAAAACCCAAAACCCTACTATGTGAATGCTTCCATCTCATGAGACACATTGCGAACCCCAATGAAAGCCCAAACTCGACTATGTGGGAACTTTAATCTCATTTGAATATCTATTTGGTGCTAGACCATAATCCTATAAGATAATCATTAAGCCTCTACTTTAACTGAAGTTTATGGAAAGATGTTCTTGACCACCAATCCATGATAATACCTCTTATAGACCATGTGTGAGCAACTATCACCATCCTTCACTTAGATATGAAGGCTCTATAGGATCAGATTCAATTAGGAAATAGAAGCCCTTCAACCCTAGAACCATTACTATGTGAGAAGCCTTTCATGTTAAGTTCATATTTATGTCTCACATCATGTCCAAAATTCTACATTATACAAGGATATCATCATCACTTAAGTGATTCTACCACTTACTACCTTCTAGGATTCATGAGGTGAATTAGGTAGGAAAAGATCTTTAATTACAACTCTATTCATTGGCCTTGCATTCACATGTAGATTTAACTCTCAAGCCTTATCATGTGTGGTAAATCATATTAGCTTCACTCTAAAGACCTAGTGATCAACATGCACCACTATGAGTCTTCATCCTCAATAACCATGTATCATGAAAGCATAATATTTACCTAGATTAGAACACAATTAATCACATTCTTAATTACTAGGTGATTCTAGACACAATTCATCTTAAAGGTTCAATTTACACTTTACAAGTCAAGATAATCAAATTTATGAAGGTATGGTTCCATTTATGATTATATGTTCCTAACATTGAACAATTACTATACATGACACTAATTAAAAATGATCACCTATGAAACTTCAGTTTCACCTCTAGTGGCATAAACTCAAAAAAAGCCACATTTGTCAAATATACTAGGGTTAACCATAGAAATCACATGAATTAATCATAATATCATATTTAAATTCCAATAAAATAATAATTAGTTAATATCAACTAGATGAGAATCACCCTAAACCTACCCACAATGTAGAAGGGAAGACTAGCTAGATCAGTTTTTTTTTACTTCACAATTGGGGGACAACTAAGGGGGCTCTATGAGGGAAGAACCCATAGTTTAATAAGATAAACATGCCTCAATTTAAAGCCAGTTGTTGTTGTTGTTTTTACTTCACAATTATAAGGCAAACTAATGAGTCTCCATGGTGGAAGAAACCATAGATGAATAAGCTAAACATACCAACATTCAAATCTTCTTATTCTCATCCTATTTATCCTCGTCCTTCTCCTTCTTCTTCTCCGTCTTCTCCTTCGTTTTCTCCTCCTCCTTCTTCTCATTCTTCTTATTCTTCTTCTTCATATCCTTCTTCTCCTACTCATTCTTCTCATTCTATTTCTTCTCCACTTCATTCTACTTCTTCTTTTTGTCCTTCTCCTTCATTTCCTCCTTCTCCTCTTCTGTATCTATTCTTTTCCTTCTACTTCTACTCCTTCTCCATCTTATCCTTCCTCTTTTCCTTATTCTTCTTCTCTGTCTTCTTGTTATTCTTTTCCTATTTCTTCATCTCCTTTTCCTTTTTCTTGTTTTTCTTCTTCTACTACTTCTTCTCATTTTCCTTCTTCTCCTCCTTCTTCACCTTCTACTTCTTCTCCTTCTCCATCTCCTTCTTATTCTTATCCTTATTCTTCTCATTCTCCTTATTCTTATTCATGTTCTTCTTCTACTACTACTTCTCATTCTCCTTATTCTCCTTTTCCTTCTCTTTCTCCTTCTCCTTCTCCTTCTTCTTCTTCTTCTTCATATTGTTGTTGTCGTTGTTCTTGTTTATCTTCTTCTACTCCTCCTTTTTCATGTTATCCTCTTTCTTCTCCTTCTCCTTTTTCTTCTCCTTATTCTCCTTTTACTTTTTCTCCTTCTATTGATTCTCCTTCTTCTCCTTCTCATGCTTCTCATTCTCCTACTTCTCCTCCTCCTTCTTCTCCTCCTCCACTTCTTCTTGTCCTCCTCCTTCTCCTGCTTGTCCTCCTATTCCTGCTTTTGATTATTCTCCTAATCCTACTTCTTCTTCTTTTTCAACTTGTTTTGATTCGTCTCTTTCATGTTTTCCTTCTTCTCCGCTTTCTTCTATCCTCTTCCTCCTTATTCTTCTTCTGCTCCTTGTCCTTCTTTTTCTTATCCTCATCTTCCTTCGTTCTCTTCTCCTTCTTCTCCACGTTCTTCTGTTTCTTCTCGTGCTCCTCCTCATCTTGTTCCTTCTCCTCCTACTCCTCCTTTTTCTCCTTCTTCTTCTCCTTATCCTCTTTTTCCTCCTACTTTTCCTCCTCTTCCTCCTTCTCCTCCTTTTCCTTCTTCTTCTTTTCCTTGTCCGTACTCTTCTCCTTCTCTTCCTTCTTCTATTCCTTCTCCTAATCCTCCTACTTCTTCTCCTTCTTCTTTTTCTCCTATTTCTATTTCCCCGTCTTCTCTTTCTGCACCTTATCCTTCTTCTTGTCCTTCATTTTCTTCTTCTTCTTTTTCTATAGAAAGAATATTCTTGAGAGGAAGTGGATCCTTAGATGATTGAGTTAATGACTTAGTTTAGGGTTCTTATCAAGCTTATAAATGTGGTTGAATAACTCACTAACCCACTTCACTTAACCGTTAATTAATTACTAACTTAAACCCCAAACCCCTAACTAAAATTTAAAACATAAAATATTCTCGGACCTACACCCCTCTACCCTCAGACCTTGACTGGAACTACTGAGCGTTCTGCACCTCTGTAGGTAAGGTCTGTCACATCAAACTTGAAGGCCTTTACAGGACTTTACCCACAACCCTAAACCACGGTGCGTGGGTCCACCTACAGCTAGTAGTTGCTACGTTTCGGTGCTGCAAATTTCACAGCTTTTGGGCTTTATTTAGGGTCCTTGCACGTGGTATTTGGGGTGTAATACCTTGATTCCCTAAGCCTAAAACTTTTATTCTATGTACATAGTCATTTTTTGTGATTTAAATCGACAAACGACAACCAAAACTTCTTACAAAAAGTTCTAGAACTCACTAGTTCAAGTTACTAATTTCCAAGTTATTAAAACCTAGCAAGTATAATTCATGAGTAAAGATAATTAATACAACCTAGGGTCTTTAATTCTATACATGGAACTATGCAAATTTTCAAAAAATTATGTTATGTAGAATCGTGGAACTGTAGCAGCTAAATTCACAATGAATCTCCAAGATTTGGAAAACCCTAGGTTTGAACAACTTATGAGAAGTTTAAGAAATGGTCCAATTATAGGGAGATAATGTGTTAAAGGAACCACTCGTTAAATCCTACTCACATGATGACAGTAACTATGGAGAAATCCTTTATATTTTGGGGCTGAACCTGAAGAAGACCTTTACTTGTTTTTGGGAATTTTATTGCCTCTTTTATCTTCTTTTTGTTATAAGTTAGATGATTTTAGGAGAATGAGGGCTCTGTCTAGTGTTTTACTAGATTAATCGGCTTAGATGAAGTAAAATGATAAATTTTTAGCATTAAATGGCATAGTTGACGTACTAAACACATAAGGAAAAATACAACTACGACCCTGACTTGAAAGTTGATGAAGTGTCTTCAAGACATGTTTCACAGGTCATCTAGAGCACCACGACCTCTGAAGTGGGTCGTGAAGATGCTCTGTCCAATAGGTCTTCACTAGTTTGCACATATTTTTACCTCTAGCTCTGAATTAGGAAAACTTAGTGTCGTTAGAAAGAGGATTCATATTTATTTAATTTGATAGGTAATGGACCACCTAATTTATTTTACGCTGAAAGATATGATAGTTTTAAGTTGACCCTATATGCTAAGTCTGACAAGTATCCTTCATGGAGTACTTCACGGTCTGTGTGGATCTTAAAAGACTGTTTAGACATATGTGGTTCTTAACTAGTGACTTTTGGGGTGCACCCTTAGTTAAAAGTGTATGACATGATTTCAAGATAGACTTCACGGGCCATTTATAGTTCCACGACCCACCAAGTGGGTCATTGAGATGCTCTTCCCAATAGGGCTTCACCAAAACCAACATATCTTTTTTTAACCGGGCTTGGAATTAGACAAACATGGTGGCGTTGGAAATAGGAATCGAAGATCTTTAATTGGATCGGTCTAAGACCATCAATTCAAAATTTTTTTGTAACATATATGATCTTTTAAAGTTCTCCCAACACTCAAGACCTGACTAGGGTGAAACCTCCTTGACTATATGACTTTTACGGACTGTAAATGGGCTTCCCAAGGAACCATGAGCCATCTACGGACCCGTAACATCCTTAATGGATCATGGTCTCCTCCATAGACCATCTACGATGCCGTGAACGATCCCTGATCCATTTGGATTCGTCACTTGCCCAAATTTCCCCTTATATCCTTTGTAGAACTCCTAGGTTTTGCAACATCTTCCCATTGGGATAATTATTCCTTCAATGAAGAGTAAACAAGATGAGTATGGAGGTAAAGAACAAACATCCCTACCACTGTTACTAGAAAATAATATGTAACTGAATTAAGTTTCATAAACTTGCATAGATGCTGAATGCAATGATAATTGAGGGAACGAGATGTTGTACTATTTTATACAAGAGTAAACGTACATACTGGAGAGGAACTATTACCTCAACATAAAACAGAGTTGGAAGCAAATAGGTGAGAATACTTGGACATCATGGACTTTTCTGCTTCCCAAGTAGCTCCTACTACGAATTGACTCCTGCACAAAACATTTACCAAAACATATTCCTTTTTTATCAAAAGACGAACCTCAATGTCAATAATCTCAGTTCGAACCTCTTTAAAAGTGTGACTATCCTTCATAATCACACTCTTTGATGGTACTACCATGTCAGATCGTCCATACACTTTTTCAAGAAAGAAATGTGCAATACTTGATGAACTGCCTCTAGTTGTGCTGGGATCGGCTCAAAAGTTTGGATTTTGGAGTTTGAATCCTTAACTCGAATAAGATGATAGATATACCCTTCAGAAGCCAGTTTTTGGTTATAATATCAGAGATAAATCGACCTACAAGTGCTGAGTTACTACCCTTTCACTTGAGTGTCACCCATAATAAATGATACCTTCTATATTTCATCAAGATACTCTTCTGGATCATACTCTTCCAACATAGACCCATGAAACTCTTAAGGATTCATACAAGTGAAGTCCTAGATTATTTTTCTGACACTATCAATTTGTAACGGGGCTAGGTCTACAACATGCTAATGGAATTGGGCAGTCATGGCTTGAGCAAGAACTTGGAAAGCATCCCTAAACTTAGCATACGTGACTTGCTCACTATGGGTCTCCTAGAGTTGCTAGATAATTTTTTGCATTATCTCTGTAAGGAGGCATTTTTTGAAATAGGAAGTGCAAGAGTTAGAATAAGATTAAATAGAGTTTACAATATACCACGAGTTGGAAAAGAGAAAAAGGAAGTTTTTCTTAGAACACCTTGTACCTCCCACACATAGCTCTGGAGTGATTCACACTCCTGAAAGAGACTCTACTTGGTGTTACTCTTAGACATCCTAAGATTCTTGAACCTGCTCTATGATACCAAGTTATTCACATTTTGACAATACTCCCTAGACGCAACACGGGACCTAAAATCACAAGAGTCCACAATCTATCCATAAGTCTGGTACATCACATGTGAACTCTATGATAAAGGGAAACATAACTATAACTAATTCAAAAATAAAGTACTTCAAATTAAAGTATATCTAAATATCAGTGGAAACAACCCTCAAACAGTTAACACTGACTCTATGGATGAAAGCCTTTACTACAAATGAGCTACGAGGACAAGTCCCTAGCTAAATCCAAAGAATACTAAAAGTGTAAAAGTAAGCTATCTAAAGCAAGCATAAGAAACAACCTTGAGCTATGAGGACTTACCATTGATGTTGCTGAGTATGGGATAGAAATTAAACTAAGTGTGTTTGGGATGTTTAGCACCTAAACTGATATCATATAACAACGTAGTGCAAAATATGCATATGTACTTTGAATTTACTGAACATGAAGGATATAGATACTAAGATGAAAATTATAAACTCAACTATATAGAGTGAACAATATAGAGTAAACATGGAAATAGGATGTACTGAAGCATAACTGAAAACTGAACTAGATGTAAAGACAAAAAATTAATCATAAATATAAAATGTTGAATTATACAATGAGGTAAATGTCGATAACATGATCAATGTAATAAGAGTACGAGTGTGGGATCTATATTAACCAGCATAAACAACGTGAGCTAAATACAGAGTCCAATGCATGCTTCCCATCTAGAGGATCCAATATACATCGCAACGGCTATACAGGCATGATTATGGCGACATCACTAAACTTGATGCCCAAGAGAAAGGATTTCTTAAGCTACATCGACTAGTTCTACGACTGTGAGGGTACACTGAACCCTAGCCCAATTCGAAACTAAATCTAGTCCCAACTGAATATGTATATAGCTAATGCTACTGAAATAATGATTAACTTAAAATATTGACACACTATCTAAAAATGAAACATAAATATAGTGAATATATGACATTTGAGTTTTAAAAAGCACATTTTCTAATAATGATAATTAATACAAGCTAGTATTTCAAATTCTATACATAGAACTATGAAACTTTTCGAAAAAACATGTTAAGTAGAATCGTGGAAGTATGACAATTAAATTCACAATTAATCATTAAGATTTTGGAAACCCTAGGCCTTAACCAATTCTAAGAACTTGATGAACTGACTGAAATTCAGGGATCTAATGTGTGAAAGGAACACACTAGTGAAATCTCACATACTTGGTTAAGAAAACGAAATCTTTTGGCTTTCGAAGATGATCTTGAAGAAGACCTCTACTTGTTCTTGGGAAAGCTATCACCTTTTCTATCTTCTTTTTGTTTTAAGTTAGATGACTTAGGAGAATGGGGTTTTGGATAGTGTCTTACTAGATTAATATTCTTAGAGCCTGTTTGGCTCAGCTTAAAAGCTGGTCAAACTAACTTAAAAGCTGGTATTTGACTTATTTAGCTTTTTGGCAATACTCAAAATAACTTATTTTAAGTTAAAAAAAAACTTATTTTAAGCCAAAAGTTAAAAGCTGGGGTAGGGGTGCTTTTTTTTTTTCCAGCTTATAAGCTGTTTTAAGTTGACCACATTTTTAACTTTTTGCCCTAAATATTTTTATACTAACTCCAAATTACCCACATAACCCTAACATCTCTTTCTTCTATTTTTCCCTTTTCACGTGTTGATGATAGACAATTACTATTACTAATGAATGAAAATAAAATAAATCTTAAATCTTTCAAGCGATCTATTCAAATTATATATTATTAAAATGTAAAATAAGTTGCATATATAACTTAAATTAAAATTTATATTCCTCTTATAAATAATTTGTGATAATAAAGAAATATGTGAATGATAGACAATTATTATTACCTATGGATGAAACTAAAATAAAATCTTAAATCGTTCTTTAATCTATTCAAATTATATATCTTTAAAATCTATAATAAGTTTAT